CTACGCTCAGAATTTCAGAGACAGTAACACTTTGAATCTTTAACCACTGTCGAGTTATAGTTTCAAAAAAGACAAAATGTTTAAGCCATTAACTTTGAGCCCTGATATCTCACTTCCTGCAAAAGATATCGAAAACGTATCAACAGTTAAAATGTTCATCACAATATCAGCAACATTTTGTCAGTTACCGTGAAACCTGTATTAAAAGGGCCCCTTTAATAGAATGACACCTCTAATAAAAAATTTTCCGTTCTTTTTCAGTGGAAAAAATTCCGGGAACTCCACAATTTGATGGACACTTGTTGAAACTCGATTTTTCGATGAAAATCTTGCTAAATTTGTAAAATTGGCAGATTTTCATAAATTTTGAACAAAACTTCATCGAATTTTTCGATGCAAAATTTCGGAAAAAATCTGGCCAGAAAACTATAAGAACCCCCTCTAATTGAAGAGCCCCTGTAATAGAAGGACGCTCGGGAGGTACCTTGGAACAATAGGGCCGGCCCTTCTAATGCAGGATTTACGGTAATTACTTTTTGATATCTTTCACAAAAACTGAGATGAATTGGCTCAAAGTTAAGGGTTGTATTCAATATATTCGAAATGAAGACTATGGTTATAGTCTTACCATTAAAGATTTTTTCAAAAAGAATGAAATAATTCACATAATACTTCTACCACATGAAACAAGAAGAAAAGAATGAGTCACATCCATTACTATTCTATTCTGGACATTTCACAGGTTGAAAAAAGGAAATGTTCGACACGAGGAAGAAACAGTGAGAACAAGAAGAAACTGAAAACAACATGTGTAAGACACTCCTTAACCCCATAAATTATTAAGCGATCAACACAAGAATGTGTTAAGGGAGGGAGGGATGAATGTGTGCCAAAATAGGGCATTAATTGGTGAGTGAGGAAGAAAACTGATGTCATTTGGCTTTGATGTCAGAAAAAAAGGGAAAAGTGAATGAGAAAAAAAATCTTAAAGAAATGAAAATGGTGGAGGATTAAGTTGGGTGGCACAGAAAAAAGGAGTGGAGAGGAAATTGAGAAAAAAATGAGTCAAAAATAAATAGACAAGAGGGTAAGTACCTATATCTAATATCTTGGTTGTAATCTAATACTCAATAAGTTTACTGGGCTTTTCCTCTCCTTCCTCTCCAACTTTCATTTGAAAAAAAAAGTTTGGTCAACCTATAAAAGTATAATCAACCTAAAAATTTTCGCCTAGGGCACCAAGGCTAGGGGCTCTAAAAAATTAACGAACAAAAAAGAAGAAGAAACGAATGTGTAATTATGGAGATGAGTAGAAAAAGAAGAAAAGTGAGCGGCTCGTTCTCCTTTAATTCTATTCTCACTTTTCTTTCTGAGCCGCGAACTCATGAGCACGGATGAGAAAGGAGAAGGCGTCTAGATTCAAGAACACAAAAGAAAATATTCCTATTTTTCCTTAGTTTTGGGCATAACTTGTTAGGTAGAAGTTAAGTAGAAATAGATGCTGGAAGACAAAACGGGGGGGGGGGGGGACTTAAAAATATAATTAAAAACTCACTAGGGTATCCGGAACTCCATTCAGCTCATCTTCCAAAAGATCTGTCATGTTGGTGGTCTGAAAAAAAGGTAAAATGTTTTGAATCAAGAAGAAGAAGGCCCCTGAAATTGAAGGATTTCCCAACTCCCCCAACACTTAAAAAAAGATACCGTAAACACTCTAATAGAACGCCATCCAAACCGTCTACTTTGAGCTCATATATCTCATTTTCTATAAGAGATATCATAAATGTGTCAACAAAGAAATTGTTGCTGATATTATGATAAACATTTTATTAGTTGACCAATTTTTGATATCTTTTACAGGAAATGAGATATATAAATTCAAAGTTGACAGTTTGGGTGGCGGTCTATTAGAGTGTGTGTTTACGGTAATTTTTGATAAATTAGGATTCAGAAAGTAACATCAGAAACATCGACACCTCGAGCATTTTCAACAAAAATATGGATTCAATGTGGTAACAATATTTTTCTGGAAAATATTATGAAAAAATTAAATGCAACGATTTAGAGAAAACTAAAATACCGTGTTTTCTTCAATAGAAGCCTACCCAAACCGTCGACTTTGAGCTCTATTTTCTCGGTTCTTGTATAAGATATCAAAATTTTGTCAACTGATAAAATATTACTGACATTATGATGAACAATCTGACAGTTTACAAACTTTTGATATCTTCTACAGAAAACTAGATACCGTAAACACTCTAATAGAACGCCACCTGGACCGTCTAATTTGAGTCTAAATATCTCACTTTTTGTGCTAAATCGCACTCTTCTGATGGTGATTCACCGGGGAATGTGCATTGCATCCCCTGCAATCACTTTCTTTTTATAAATTCTTTATCATGTAACCAGTATATTGTATCATTCTAGATCGTTCAATAAACCAATGTAGTTCTAAAACACTTCTTTTGAAAGATATCAAAAAGTTGTTAACTAATAAAATGTTTATTATGATATCAGCAACATTTTATTAGTTAACCACTTTGTGATATCTTTCACAGAAAACGAGATACATGGTCTCAAATTTAACGATTCGTGGGGTGTTCTATTAGAGTGTTTACGGTAATTCAGCTTCAAGTTGACGGTTTGGTTGGGCTTCTATTTGAGGAAATACGGTAGTTTCTTACGGTACATAAAATATGTGAAATTGTTTATTTGTTTCAAAAACTGGGTTTTTGAACACAATTTTCAAGGATCAAAACTCAAATACTTCAGACACGAGGAACCGAATTTCGTAGTTTTTAAACTTTTGTAGTTTCTGTGATGTCAGTGACATCAAGAAGAGAAACTGGATGTTTCTAGAAACATCCATCTGATTTACGAGCTACTCAAAAATCAAAACACAGAAAAATGAATTAGTCATCAGCAATGGTAAAAGAACAAAAGGAGTTGTCTCATAATAGGAAGATGCGTTCAATTGAGTAATCGAACAAAGACCACCACCTAGAAAAGAAATCGGTTCATATTTGTCCCAAAAAACATTTAGGTACGTCAGGAAAAAAATTGTGATGAGGTCAGAAGAAGATCAGGGGAAGAAGAGGGGGTGTGAAAGAATTTTTTTATATTTTAAAAATTAAAAAATTGTGGTGTAGTCTCGTTTTCTTTCCAAATTTTGACTTGTAAAATGGGCGGAGCGTTTTTTATGATTTCTTGAAAGTCTTCTTTAAATGTTCGACATAAATATTTTTTCCACAATTTGAACCAAACATTCCAGAAAACGAAATATCAGAAAGCCTAAAAGTGGGGAAAGACAAGATGCGTAAATCTATTTTTGTTATTTTCGAATTAGGATTTCTAGTGATCATTGATATGTATCTTGATTTCGTACCGCTAATCCAAGGGTTTGTGTCTATAGGTAGGTAGATCGAACTTTTTTTTCGAATTTCAAAAAAAAAAGATCTGAAAAAGGATTATAAACTTCGAGGTGAACTAAAAGATGAAAGCTCTGCATATCGAATAAGCTCTTCCTCCCAAACAGGGTTTCAACGAGATGAAAAAAAATGCAGTAGTTTAATATTTGGAGTTTGGAGGGTGGGAGGATGGAAAAAGATGATAGTTGCAAAAAAACGAAGAGGAAGTGAATATTTCGTTTTTTTTTCTAGGCGATTTATATGGGAAATCAACATGATATCAAAGCAGGTACAATTTCAATTTAATAGAGTATCCCTCCAACTGTTAACTTTAAGGTCATGTATCTCATTTCCTGTGAAAGTTATCAACAAGTGGTCAACTGACAAAATATTCTTGATGTTATGATAAATAACATACTTGCGGACGGGCCCAAAGCGGGCAGTGGCGAGCCCTGTCATAGTTTCTTTTAGGATTGATATTTTTTTTGCCCAACTAAATTAGATATGGTAGAACTCGACGAGCACTACAAAATGATACTATTTGAGACACTGTATCATGTTTGTGAACAAAGTTACAGCCCAAACGGGCCAAAAAAACCGGCCCGGCCCGCATTTGCCGCTTTTTGGCTTGTAACTTTGCTCACAAATATGATACAATGTCTCAAATAGTATCATTTTGTAGTGCTCGTCAAGTTCTACCATATCTAATTTAGTTGGTCTAAAAATATCAATCCTAAAAGAAACTATGACAGGGCCCGCCACGGCCCGTCCGCAAGTATGATAAATAATTTATCAGTTGAAGATTTTTTGATATCACTCACAGGAAATGAGATATATAGACTCAAAATTAACGGTTTGAGCGGCTTTCTATTAGAATGTTTACGGTAGCTTGATCCCCTGAAAAGTAAAAAAATCTTCTCGGCTCTTGTAAAAGATATAAAGAAGTTGTCAACTGATAAAATATTGGTGATATTATGATAAAAATTTTGTCAGTTGAACATTTTTTGATATCTCTTACAGGAACCGATATATGACCTCAAAGTTGACGGTTTAGGTGGCCTTTTACATGTATTAGTGGTAGTTGAGATCAAACTTTGAGCTCACATATTTCAGTTCCCGTGGGAGATATAAAAAATCTGTCAACTGATAAAATTTTGGTGATTTTATAATAAAGAGTTTATCAGTTGATAGATTTTTGGTAGCTTTCATAAAAACCGAGAAAATTGTGCTCAAAGATAACCTATGAGCTTCTACTAATTGAAACGCGCCAAAGGCACCCCATCCATATATTTTTGGCATGTTCAAAATTTATAAGACTTTCAAAATTCGTTTTTCTAAGCATAGATTTTTCCTGAAATTTCAAAACTCTATTTTTTCAATTGACAACTTTTTTATTATATAAAAACTGTACTTCGGACAGAAAGAAAACAGAAAGAAGAACAGGCAAGAATACAAATGAAAGTGAAAAAGAGGTAGAAAGAGTATCGAATCGTACCAAAAAAGGAAATTATGCAAAGAAGCTTTTGAAGCTGGTTTTAATTAACGATAATAAAAACAGAAGTCAAGATTATTAATGTAATCAAAATGATTAAATCAATACATAGGCGGAGCAGAGGCAACAGGCATCTGAAATCCTGGAGATGGTGCTTGGGCTCTTCTTCCAATTCCATCCAACACTGGATCGTAGTCTGGCGGTGGTGAGTTTCTTGTCCATGGGTTCTCTACGGGTCTCGGCTGGAATCCACGTTGCTTCATGTATCCTGTCAATTGGCCTGGAACTTCGAAGAGCACTTCACGAGCCAAGTTCTCCTGAACGACGTCTGGATCCAGGTATACTCCACGTCCATTGTTCAGGAATTCACGGATGGTCACGAATTGGACAATGTCTCGTTGGGCGATTCTGGAGTCTTGTTGAAGAAGAGAGTCATCACTATCCAACTCATGCATCTTCTCAAAATCTTCGTTTCCAACACCAATGATAATAATAGAGAGGGGAAGTCCGGAGGCCTGGAAAATCAGAAGATTAGAATGATTTTAAGCTTGATATTAACCTACATTAATAATCGAACGAATCGTGGCGTGCATATCGGAAATTATTCCATCAGTGATAATCAGCAAAATCTGATATCTCGCCGAATCATGAATCATATTCTGTGCCTTCTGAGCGACCGTGTCAATAATCGGTGCAAAATTCGTTGGTCCATACAGCTGAACATTCTGTAGAGCATGTCTATAAGCAGACATCACTCCACTGATTCCCACGACTTCTGGAGTTCCACGTAGCAAATCCAACGAGAAGATAGCACTAACGGAGACGCTATTAGGAAGCTTGGCACCGAATCCAAAGGCTTCGAAGGTTTTTGAAGAGTTGTAATGTTGGCAAATAGAAAGTACGGATCGCAAAGCCAACTCGTATTGATTCGGTCTATCTGCTGACATATAATGAAGTGATGAAGAATTCTTTGGCGCTCCGTTCGAAGCTGTAAAATCCACAGCGACGGCGAATTCCAACTGAGTTCCTCCTGATATGAAATCGAGGAATGTTGGCTCAACGATGATTTTTGAATTCCAGATTTTCAACGTTCCCGAGCACTTGTACTTATCGCCCTTCTTCGCCTTCTTCTTCTCGTTCGTCAGCTGAATTTAGAAGAATTTTTGAGGACTCTAGCCTAGAATTTCTACTCACCAGCAACTCTACAGGATCTCCAGCTCCTCCACGAAGCAGCTCGTTCAGCGTAGTATGGGCGGTTCCGATGTGGTCGTCTCTAGAAAATTTGGCTTCACCACGCGGCTCTTCACCCCTACAAATGGTGGCGCGTGTTTCCGAAAAATGAACAAAAAAGCATAGGGAAAGTCACACAAAAAGCACCACCACCAAAGGAATCAAAGGCAGACAAGAAAACTCACTTTTTCCACTTATCATGATCGTAGCACTCGATGATAATTGGTCTGAAAATTAAACTTTTTAAAGGGAAGTTGCGACCAAAATGTCTTATTCTTGTATTTCTGGAAACTTCTAGAAGGTTCTCGAACATTTTTGAATTCCGCCAAAACTAAAAACTCCGAAAACTTTGAGATTTTTCGAGAGAAAAATTGATTTTCTCTTCGATTTTTTGCCAAATTCTTAGACCTTTTTCGGTTTTTCAGCTGTTTTTGAAGATTCTTTTTCGATTTTTTCGATTTTTTGTCTGAAATTTGGCGGGATGGTGTTCGCGAAGATTACTGTAGATTACTGTAGAAAGCGAAATTTCTTTTGTAGTTTTTTACAAACACAATTACTTACGTCATAAAGAAAAAACTACAAAATTTAGTTTTCTACAGTAACCTACAGTAATCTACATTAATCTTCTCCAACACCATCCTGTCAAATTTCAGACAAAAAATTCGGTAAAACCGAAAAATAATCTTCACAAATAGCTGAGAAACCTAAAAAGGTCTAAAAATTTTGCTAAAAATCGGAGAAAAATAATATTTCTCTCGAAAAATCTCAATTTTCCAAAGTTTTTTAGTTTTGGCGGGAATTCGAAAAAAATTCGAGAACATTCCAGAAGTTTCCAGAAATGGGTGAGAACCGATATTTTTTTCGTTTTTTTTTCAATGTTGCTGTCTTCTTAATTACGCTCTTATAATTACCTCTCTCCATCCTTTCCACACAACGTCTGCGTATTGATTTGAACCGTCGCCCATCTCGGATCCAATGTCTTCTGCTTAACCTCAGTTCGATGAACCAAATGAGCGCTTCCATCGTCGAACTTTCTTTTGAAATTCAAATAAGGGTCGGATTTTCCAAAAAAGTCCTTCTTATCAAGACCCTCTCCACACACATCAAACTGGATCTTTTCGCATTTCTCGTCCTCTTCCGCACGGATCGTGATCGAGCCCGTTCTTGTGTTTTTGTCTCTGAGAATTCATATATTTCGGAATCTGCCACGTGGCGTTTGGACTTACTTATTTCTCCACTGCGCTCCGATTCCTTCAGCTTTACCGAGATGCGCTTTCAGTGTGGAATAGCTTACGATTTGAGCCAGAACACACTCGAAACGACCCAGGAAATCGTGTGGCGACAAGTCTTGACCAACATTTGGACTATCGGCGTCGTAACTGAAGTTTTCTATGTTTTGTTGCTTTAAAACTTCTAAATAAGCACTAATAAGCGAACTTTGAGAATTTCGGCGTTTTCAAGCTCGAATTGTGATACCACTGTGTTTTCTAGCATCGCTTTACTCTAAGATTTATACATTTTGTGAACTAAATTTCAAAAAAACCTATTTTCGCGGAAAAGCTCAAAAGCCCGTTTTCACAAAAAATCGCTCATGTAGTCGCTCATAAATATGTAAATAAGTACATTTCAAAGCGCAACAGTTGAGTTTCTTCGAAGAAATAAGGCAACAAGAAAGTCTTCGTAAACTGCGGATTCAAATTATTCATCACCACTTCGGTCCGTCCTCTTTCTGTCCATTGGCTGTCTTGCCACGTGGGAACTTGAACAGGCTCTGTGGTTGTCGCCTTCTTTCCGCTCGTTTTCTCGTATACCAAACAAATCGGGTCGGACTTTGAGAAGACGTCAGTGTCCATTAAATGTCTGGAATTGAAATTTTATATGCAGTAATATTCAATAAGCTGTACAAAACGTTGTTTTTAGTGTGTTTTCGGTAATTGTTTTTGTATTTTCGTTTATTTCAGGAGTCTGGAGCTCGGCTTTCAGGTTTCCGATTACTTTGAAACCTTGGAGGGTGTAAAACAGATCTGTTGTGTACACCCGGTTTTTGTACAGAAATCGTGTAAAAACAGATGTTTTGCAGAAATCCGAAAAATCAGGAATTTTCAAAAAATAATCTGTGAACGCAAAGTAATATATGTCTGTTTTAGACTCTACAAATTTTCCAAATTGTTGGAAACTTGACAATCGAGCTCCAGACTCTTGAAAATAGTAAAAATGACCGAAAATTCTTTTTTTTTTAAATTAACTTACTCTGCCGAAATCGTCAGCCTAACATTGGTTTTGGGACGAGTGCTATCGGATATACCGATAGCTGCAATTGGCTGATTCATGTGAGTTTCTAGCTGGAAATTTGCATTTTTTGGAAGATTGAAAAAGAAAAAAACTGGCGGAAGGCAAACAAAATAGGACGATTATAAGGGAGTGTTATAAATACGAACATGCGAGAGAAGAGGATTAGAGAAAAAGAAAAGTGTGATAAGAATAAAAAAATGGACGCTGAATCACCGGAAATCGACAAGAGATTATCGCATTCAGGTGTATGTTTTATTCAATGCAATAGAGATTATAACAGTAAAACACGGGGGGTCGAGATCATACTAAATATTTTTTTTCGGGGTCAGATCGGGAAGTTATTTTTTTAATAAATAAATAAAACAAAAAACGAAAAAAAAGTTAAAAAGGGAATAGATTTTTTCGAAGAGAAGGCGATTTTTTGAAAAGAAGACGACGCGTTGAATGTGGTCTCGCTTTCTGAAAAAAAAGGGATGAGGTTGTTTTTTTTCTTCATTTAAAAAATTGTTTGTTTTCAGATAGATAGAAACAGGGGAAATTGAAATAAAAGGAAGGAAAGAAGAGCGAAAAGAAGGCAAATGAAGATAGGAAGGAGACGAGAGAGTGGTCATTGAGTGAGAAACGCAGACATCGAGAATATAACAGTGAGGCGACAACAACAACGGGCGGAAATCGAGATATTCATCTGTTCTTCAGATTCTGTGCGTCTCTTCAATGCTCAGTGAGCAGAATTGGTCACATAGGTTTCCTAAATTGTTGTTGGAATTGAGAGAAGACGTAGGGGAAATATGGGATGGTTTGAGAATGGATGATAAAGCGAGGCATTTCGGAAGCATCATTTGATGGGGAGAAGGGACATCTGGACATGCAGAAAACTGGAAAAAAGTTTCAAAACTTCTGAAACGTGCAGCATTTTAACGTTACCAGAAATTTCGAAAGAAAAATTGAAAATTCTGGAAAAACTTCGCTTTTGAAATTTAAATTTTTCCGAAATTTTGAAAAAAAAAATGTTAAAAGTTTGAAAATTCTGAAAAGTCCAAAAATTTCAATTTTTAACATTTTCAGGAATTTTGAAGAAAAAAATCAGAAAAATTATTTCTTCTAAATTCAAATTTTTGAAATTCCGAAAAATTCGAAAAGTTTAAAAATTTTGAAATTCGAGGAGTTTGAATCTAAAATTTCTAGAAATTTTGAAAAAAATCAAAAAATTTGAAATTCGAGAAATTCCAAATTTCAGATTCATTCGGCAGAATTTTCTAGAAGAAATTGAAAGACTGAAAAAAATACAATACAAGATACCCATTCTATTTATATCTTTAGCTTCTTCTTTTTGGCTCCGCCCCTTTCTTCCATGCAAAAAAATATTTGTCACTACATGTCTGCGTCTCTCTCCCTCACACACAACTTTCCCACTGCACTGACGTCACATTGACTTATGAAAATCGAGTCAAAAATGAGCTACGAGCCATACTGACTGACGTGTGTAGAATAAAGAGTGAGAAATTTCACAATTACTGAAAATGAGCAACAGAAAACAAAAGGGAGAGAATCTATTTTTAGATGACGTTGGGTATTAGTGAAGAAGGTGTAATTAGGTTATTCAGGAGAAAAAATAATGATGTCAGTTTTTGATAGAATGAATGCTCAAAAATCCGGCTCCGCGTCACTTCGAAACCGGTCGTTTCGAAACTGTGGTAATACAGAAAAATGATTGAATTTCAGACTACAAAAACAATTTCAGGGTTTTCAAATATGCTTTTTTTTTAATGATAGAACACATTCAGAAAATCGAAAAATTCAAGAATTTTTCTACTTTTGAGAACATCAAATTTTGGATTTTTTAGTTTTCAGAATGTATTCTATCAGAAAAAGCATATTTGAAAACCCTAAAATTGTTTTTGTTGTCTGAAATTCAACCATTCGCCTGTTTTACCACAGTTTCGAAATGACTGGTTTCGAAGTGTCGCGGTTTCGAAGTGACGCGGAGCCAAAAATCCATTTTCTTACCTTTTCTCACTCAACCAAACTGACGATATACATCATTCCAACACCCATGCAAATCGCGATCAAATGTACCAAACTCTGCGCCATTTTCGCGACTTTCGACATATTATTATGATCTCCAGACTCCAAAAGCTCGGGAATCACGGAAACCGTGGCAATATAAATGAATCCACCAGCTGTAAACGGCATAATGGCACCGGTATCACCTTCAGCGCTCAAAACAGGATTCGAGATGAGCAATGAGAAAATGCATCCGGTGATGGCTCCAAGCGCAGTGACGGCTTGCATTCGAATGGCTTGATATTTTGAGAATCCCGATTGAACGAGAATTGCGAAATCTCCGACTTCATGGGGTAACTCGTGGAGGAGAACAGTCAGAGTGGTGACCCATCCAAGGGTGCTGCCTGCTGAGAATGATGCTCCGATTGCTAATCCGTCAGTCATGTTGTGCACGAAATCGGCGACCAAGTTTAGATAGGCACTGGCTTTGATGTCCTGAAATTTTGAAATTTGACAATGAGGTCGGGCTTCTCCGAGAGCCTGTTCTACCTTCAATCCTTCCACTTCTTGCTTTTTCTCCCCATTGTGATGATGATGATGGTCATCATTTAGGTGTCTGTGCTCATCTGCCACTATATGTCCGTTTTCATGAGAATGACAGTGACCTCCTGCAATTTTTTCCTCGGTTAGAAAATCCATTATTGTTTTTTAACGCATCAAAATGTGTAGAAGATATATAGATTCATATAGCAATAAAAAATTACAAAACCTCCGAAAATCGCTTCTCTGGAAACTTCTGAAAAGCTCTAGAATTTTTTTTGAATTCCCGCCAAAATTGAAAACTTCAAAAACTAGCGATTTTCCGAGAGAAAATAAATGGTTTTTTTCTTCGATTTTTGGCAAAATTTTCAAACCTTTTTAGCGTTTTCAGCTATTTTTAAAGATTCTTTTTTCAAATTTTCCAAATTTTTTCTCTGAAATTCGACAGGATGTTCGCGAGATTACTGTAGATTGTTGTAGACAACTTTTATTTTGTAGTTTTTTTTGCAATTTTTCACAATCCGCATTATGACGTGATTGTTGCAAAAAAACAACAAATTTAGAAAGTTTTCTACAGTAATCTACAGTAACATTCGCAAACACCATCCCGTCAAATTTCAGACAAAAAATTTGGAAAATCGAAAAAGACATACTTGTAAAATTCCGGGCCGGGCCTGAGGAAAATTTCAAGGCCTGGTAGCAAAAATTTTGTCATTTTGAACCGAATTTTGAGCTCTCAATACAATTTTCTATATTTTTTCCGTGCTTTTTCGATTGTTTGTCTGTTTGATCCAAAAATTTTTTTAAAACTCGAAAAAAAATTTTTGATCGAAAAAATGTGTTTTTTGAAATTTTCAAAACTTGTGGAATGACAAGCCCGCCGGGCCGGGCCTCCGAAATTCGGGAAAAAGCCCGGCCCGGCCCGTTACACGTATGGAAAAAGAATCTTCAAAAATAGCTGAAAAACCTGAAAAGGTTTTTAAACTTTGTGGAAAATCGAAGAAAAAAAATAAATTTTTACTTTCGAAAAATTGCCAATTTTTCATTTTTGAAATTTTTTTTATTTTTGAAGCGGGAATTCAAAGATTCGAGAACCTTCGAGTAGCTTTCTGAAACAGCGATTTTTTGAAATTTTGCTATTCTTTTTTGAACTTTTCCCTTGTTGCTGTTTAAGAAAAATCTAACCTTTGATAATTCTAACCAACTGCTCAACCATCATGAACACTAGGATTCCAGCGATCACATAGATTCCGACACGAAGTTGATCTGAATGATCGTGCGAGTGATCGTTATGAGCATGATCATGAGAATGGGCGTGGTCATGATCGTGTGCTCCATGGCTATGTGGGTTCAGAGAGTGAGGAATGATGTGAAGTAGAGCGTCACCGAGAAGACCGCCGGCGCCGAAAGCCAGAAGAATTTTCAGGAAGGGACCATTGGCGTGCTGGAAAATATTACAAATTGAATTGACCTAATTAAAATATATGAATTATTTTTAACAGTTTCGCTCGCAAGCTAGCGCATTTGCACAGTTTTTTCTGGTCAACTCATCATTTCCACGTGGCAAAATGACACCTACCTGAGCCGGAATGAAGAAAAGAAGTGTGCACGGCGCCAGAGAAATTCCAATGACTGCTGACAATGAAAATACCCAGACTTTCAGTGTGCTCAGCTGAGAATGGGGCACTTTTTCGTGACTTGAATGATTCTTCTTCTCATCCCAACGCAAAATTTTATGATCGTGGTCGTGGTCGTGGTCATGTTCGTGAAGCTCATGATCATCCAGCCCGACTTTGGTCAAAACCGCGCTCCCTTCATCGTCGTGGTGATGATGGCTGTGTTCGTGGCAGATGATAAGAAGAGGGAGCAGCAGGACAACTGTGAGAAGTCGCATTCTGGAAAAATTATTTTAGAAAAGCGAAAGAAAGAACGACGGAAATTAATAAAAATTTTCAAGAAAATAAGAAAAAACCGAACAAAAGTCTGAAGATCGAACTGAATGAGTGATTTTCGAAAATCCATTCAGTTCTTTTTTTTTCGAATTAGCATTTCGAACAAACAGAGTACTTTCTCTCTCTCTCTCTCTCTCTCTCTCTCTCTCTCTCTCTCTCTCTCTCTCTCTCTCTCTCTCTCTCTCTCTCTCTCTCCGGCCCCATAAAATGTCGCCCTCTCCCTCCGAGGTGCTATTTGTTCTCTCCTCTGCGCCATTTCGTCATCTGGCGAAACACTGACGTGTTATAACACCCGCTTCTCAAAAATATAGTGTTCGTGCGCGGCGAATGGATTTCGCAGATTTTTTTGTGTTAGTAATAATGTTTTTTCAACAAACATTTCATCAGATTCTGAAATTTCTGAAAATTTGCGGCGAAAATCGAGAAAAAAAATGATTCCAGCGAATTTTTGGGGGTACGACGAATTCGAACGTTTTCAAATTCGAACAGACCTAAAATCGAACTGATTCAATTCAGAGCAGTCCTTTTTTCGCACACGTACCAGAACAGAACGCGGACAGAATCGAACTGTTACAAGTTCGAACTGGTAAGGAGTCGAACTGTCCTAAATTGGAACGCTGCCTGCAACAGAGCGCGCATGAAAGCACACCCAAAACAGC